CCCCGCGGAGAGTATCGTTGTTAACCTTGTCTTAAGTCATACCATAACCACCATTTGTATAAAACCTATGGAAACAACGCAAGTGTACATAGCATTATAATTTATTGCATTATTAATATGAAAAAAATAAACATTTGATAACATGTACAAAATAATACATCTCTATACCAAAATCATATTTTGGAAACCCTGCTATTTTGATTACTCTTGCAGTGATTGATTAATTATTACATTAATGTTGTACAAGAGCACCACCATTGAATGACGTAAACTGTCAAATCTCAAAAAGAAAACCATATTGTAAAAAAAAGTTCACTTCGCTTGCTGATGTTTCTGCAGAATTTAAGTTTAATAGCCTGGAACGCAACTACTCAAATTGTCGGATGAGTACCAAGAAGATTCTATTTAATACCCTTTATACTTTATTTATGATACATTACTATAGTAACCCAGCTTGTTCCACTCACTCTAATATCAAACCCAGTGGGGCTATTGGATTACCAAGTTATAGAGAAAAGGGAACTTTTAAACAAATTTGCTGATGAATAGCAATGATAAAATAATGTGATGACTAGGTTTTTTTTTTAAAAGATGATATAAAAGCTGCAATGCTCAGGCAAAAGTAAGAATTTCTGTGGTGAATTCAGGGGGACCCCACCCCCCCCCCAACACTCTTAAAATACACTTATTAAAAACAAAATGAATAAAATATGAAGATTATTCAAATTTAAGTTTGAGGGTGCCATTGACAGGCATCTAGAGGTGCTATAATCTTATTTTTTTATTTTTACTTCCATCCCAATCATGTTTGGGATGATGTGGTCTAGATCATCATCTATGAAAGAAGTCCCTCTGTGGGCCCCCTCGATTTTACATTTCTGGATCCACCACTGAATAACAACCACATTATGTAATTACTTTAGAGTTTATAAATAAAAATGTCAACAATTGATAATTTGTACCGTTAATTGGCGTGAATTTTCGACATGCGACGTGTTGGTCGGTGATTAACGTTTGACCCAGTACTCTACCGTATTAGTTAACCATAGTCTGATTGCAACACTACCCCAAAATTAAGCAAAGTATATAACATTGAATCAGAGGTTTTGCAGTTAATTTAAGTGCGTCAGTTGGTCATGTGACCACCATTTGACCAACACGTAACATCATATCCTATATTATTTTTAAGGAAGACTAGTATAGCAACGATGTGTATAGTCAGTCCTATGCATATTATTAAACTCCTGCACCTATTTGGAAGACATGTATTAATAGCAATGAACAAAATATGTATGGACCAGGTCTTAAGTCTGGTTTTAATAAAAAAAAAAAAACATTTTCACTTGCATTTTTATATTTTAACAATTAGAAACAACATAATAGTTTTTACTGATAATAAAAATTATGGAATACAAATATTATGTGTATTATGTTTATTATTTACACATATACAAAAGTCAAAAGGAATTTACTTAAATTTCTATTATTGCATGAGCACCATATTTACAAAGGTCATGTATATAATGTTATATACTGTACATAAATACTAGCAGCAGCCATGGGATGGTAAAAAAATTATATCTAAATGCTAATATAATGTGTTCAGGTACCGAACGTCATCAGGAGATACTAAAGGCGCGGCAGGCTTCCACGAACTTAGGTCATGGACCATGGCCACGTCATCTTGAAGTCTGCGTTGTCTTTCCTTCACAACATAAGGCTCTCTAAATAGAAATAAAATGGTGACTTGTTGATAGTAAGAAGAAAGTAACTGTGTAGTTGAAAATACACTACTTCCAACCTCTATTCAGAAGACAGCCTTATTAAGAGGACATTTTTTTTGCCCCAAAGGTGTCCCCACCACAATAGGGGTTCTACTGTAATCTTGATTTTATACATGATGGAAGTATATTTCATATAAGATGATGAAAAAATAGTATTTTATACAATGTCTGGGTGTAGGATGCACCTACTCCCCCATGGTAGCAAATTAGTTCCACTAAGTGACTTAAAATACTAAAACCATTAAGTTTTCATTGGAATAGGGATTTTGTTTTGCATTCTCGATTTTCGCACCCCTCAGTTTCGTATCCTCAATTTTTGCACCCCTGAAAAAACCAGCCTATGCTTCTGCAATGTATGTCGGGCATCCAAAGTTTAAGCCATACACGACGAAGACATAAAATAAACTTCAAAGTTTCCTATACATAGCCACCAAAAGTTTTAATGTAATACTGAGAAGAATGTAGTTTTACTGTACCTTGTGATTTCTGGCAATTTTTGAAGAGGAACGAATGTGTCTGGCTTCTTGGTAGGTGGCCCACTATTAACATAAAAGTAAAGTCAATCAGTTTTTGTTTTTGTAACAAATAAACCTGGACATGTTGCAATATTAAATTGGACAATCCTTGGACACCTAAAATGTTTGTCATCTCTGGCGTCACGACTCTCCAACAGGGCTTTTTCCATGGACCTCACTGACATTTGTTGGGAACTGTCAGCCACCCTGTTGGATAGCTTAGTGTTGCCCTCGAAAATTCCTAAAGGTGCTGCTGCTAAACAAATATGCCTCTCACACAATAATTGTTAAAAAAATAATGCCTGTAAACTCACCCAAAGTTGACAATAGGCCTGCATGATCCCCTCTTGTGAAAGTTAGGAGAGTACTCAACTACCTGGTAGTTTTTATCCCCAGGGGATGCATATGGAAATTCCCTTTTCTGCCATATTGAATTGTCTATGGAATAAACAACAAAATCAGTAAATCTAATAGAAGACATTTAAATATGCTTCAAGGTACCTCTAAAAGGTAGTAGATTTTAGATTTTGAAATCAGGAGTGTGCAGGGGCAGATCCACAGATGTCCGAAAGGTGGAGGTGGGGGGCGAAAGAAGGACCAAAAGGGGGTCGAAAGTCGAGATAAATTAACATTACTCTAGGGGGTCCGAAATTTTTTTTTTTGACACCCGAAAATAACCTCTGAGGCATTTTGGACGATCAATTATTTTTTTTTTTTTTTTTTTTTTTCTTTCCAAAAGGGGAGACCAGAGCCAGTCTCCCCCCCCCCCCAAATCCATCCCTGAGCAAAGCTATGGCTTGGAAAATCTAACAGTAATCAGAATATTCATACAGTCAAACCAAAGATTGGGGTGTAGTCGGGGAAGCATACCATGTGTTCCTGGATCCGCTAACTGACATTATAAGACACTATAAGAAAGTCACATGCATTAGTCTCAGAACCGTTACTTGGTTTTAAAAGACCATGATAATTAATTATTATGGAGGACCCATATTAATCATAATGAATTTACAGGACTACGTACATTTCCGCCTTTTACCATATAACATTGAATGAGTTATTTCATTGGCCGATGTTAAGTTGTTTATATGCTGAATTTCTCCACTGCTGCCTGTAAAGAAACACTTCTTCCCTATTGTGTTGTCAGGATAGTAGGTCCACTCTCCATATGTTTGTCTTGTCATGTCTAAAAATAAACATGAATGTGGGTGTAAACATTTAGAATAATAAACACATGGATACTGTATACTCTATTGCAAAGCATTTTGTAAAATCAGGGGGTTGTTTCATGGTTGTCAGGGGTGGATTTAGGGAGGGCCGGGCTGGCTATTTTTGGGCACCTACAACACAAACGTTTTGGAACAGGGGTTTCACGGTCTTTACCAGCTTTGGTCTTTAATTAGAAAAAATTAATCTTATAAAAATAAAAAGATAGACAGCCACTCGGGGGTCGCAGAAACATTGGGGCCTGGGTATTTCATTAGAGTGAGGCATGTAATGAACTTACCTGGGAATGACCTTTGTCCTATTGGAAGGCATTGTGGATGTTTAGCCTCCGGGTCTGATGGATGTGGTATATAGCTAATTCTCGATTCCCAGTCTGGTCCATTGCTGAAATTAGTTTGAAAACATGGTATGTATTATAGTACTGTAATGTAATGTTTTAAAATAATCTTTAGAAGGTTTATTCCAAAGTGACAAGTAGTTTGAGAAATATTTTATGTGCATAATATACAATAAAATTTGATATTTCAATTTTTTATTATATATTTAAATACGTTTTTAAGCTAATTAAATTAGGAAATACTTTCTTGAATGGGCCTATTAAAAAAAAAAAACAACAATGATAAGTAAATATCTAATTAGCAAAATACAGTAATACCATTCTTGTATATTTCATCTCCTTGTTAACCATGAAAAAGTAACTTACTTATACTGATGTTATATAAAAACTGATTTTTTTTTTCTCTTAATAATCTGTGTTTTATGTAAAGTTGTAAGACTATATTTTTATCATCAATGTATTGGCTGGAAGTTTATCTTTAAATAATATTAAGTCTGTATTAATTACTAAAACTAAACTGATTTATGTCTCAGACTCTCGTTGGGAGTTGAAAACTTATTCAATTCTTTGATTTTAATGTTGGTCACTTTTATTTTATATTTAGGCCTAAGTGTTGATTTTTTCATGTAAGCCCCTAATTGTCTACACTATCAAATTTGATATGACAAAAAAATGTGATGTGTCCATATAGGGCCTATGAGCATGATGACGTAGGCCTTATCAAATTGTATCAAAAAAAGTTGAACATGTTCAACTCTATGTTCCATCAAATTTTATGTGACGCTTTTTTATGATGAAATTTGATAGTGTAGACAAAGCTTAATATTTTTTAAGAGGTCCAGGCTCTCATCCAGCTGATTGGCTTTGTCTAGGACAGTTTACAGGGATGGGTATAGGGATACACTTTCATAATAAATAAATTTAGATTAAGAAATTATATATTTTGATTGATTTTTCTTAACTTTAAAACACAGTACAGTTTAACTCATAGGCCTAATTATATGCATGACTTATCAACAATGAATGAGAAGCCTAATATTACTATATAAAGAAGGCTAAAACAGAGAATTTTGTCTGATTTAAGGGCAAATAGAAAAATGTATTAGATTATCACTCAAGCCCGCGTCAAAAATTCGGGAGATAGGCCTATTGATGCGGGAATAAAAAAATTTCCGCATCAATTATTTCAACAGCATAAAAATAACAATACAATTTTGTGACTTCAAATACAATTTCTTTAAGAAAATATAAAATTAAACCAATTTTTATACAATATTTACTATTACAGACCAAATATAAACAGCCCCTCTTGTCGATAAAAACAAAAGCGAAATAATCTATTGTTCGGAAAAAAAAAAACCAAAAAAAAAAAAACCGCCCTCCCTCATCAATTTAAAAAAAAAAGAGTGATAATCTAATATTAATAATTTTTTCTATGTGCCCTAAATATAATATTAATAGAATGTTCATAAATATGAATGAACCACCTGGAATACTTGACTTTTATAGACTTTCCATGTGGTTTCCAATCTGGCTGAGTTCCGTAACCGGGATGAATATAAACACGCCCACTTGGTTTAATCTTTGTTTTGCCTTTTTCCTCTTGAAAATGTCGCCTTTCTCTTTCTAAAGAACCAAGAAAAAGAAGTAAAAATAAGGTTAATATTTCCAGTAATACTAATAATAGGCCTATTTCTATTATTAGGCCCTATGTAAAAGTCAAGTTCAAGTGTTTTTGTCAAGTTCTGTGTTTTTAATTAGGGATTAAAACCACAGGAAACGCCCTTAAATGTTGAGGTAACGGGGTGACTAGATCGATGGAGTGTTGTTACTAAGTGCACTGTGCTGTGTCTTTTTAAGTATCGCTGTACCGTTTACGTACGTACAACTTACTAGTTTATAGATGTATTTACACTTCAAAAATGTTGCTTACCTTTCTTTCCAGGAACCCCAACTTCTGTTATAATATGTTGAGCCATTCAACTACTCAATTCGTAGTATACTCTCTTCACTTGTGGAAATGTTTATACCTTTGTTACTTCTAATACATGTTTAGTACTTAGTTTTTCGAGTTTGTTCTCATTCATGCTTATTCAATAATATGCTTCATGTTACCTAGCAACGCTTGGCTCGTTCATAGCTATACAATTTGCATTACTCTAAATTTCTTATATGAATGTTTAATTAATACATTTGCTATATTAAAACGTTTAATCCTCAATGGTAAATTATTAAATACGTTTCATTTTAATATAATGTTTTATAAAAAAAAAAATAATGATATTATAACCTGAACATTTGGACATTAATTACTTCCACAACATCAACAACAAAGTTTCCTGCTGTAGCTCTGTGAATGAGAGAGTCGCGTGTCGTTTCACTTCATACCTCCCTGCAATATGTAAGGAATATTTACAAATATTACTAATTTATCTGAGTTCAGTATGTTTTCTTTCAGTTATATAGGCCCACGTAACTATCGGTAGTGTAGTAAGCAGCCCCGGCTGGTGTAAAATGGCTAGACTGAGGGCCCTTCCTGCGTGCGGTCACCCATCAGGCCGGATGCGATCCATTCCTGGCAGGCTAGGCACAGGCCTAGGCTTAGTAAATAGGCCTAGGCCTAGATAGTAGAATAACTAAACATATATTTTGTAAATAAATGTCTAAAACACCGTGACTTACTGTGTACATGAATTCCTCCTTTTTCAGCTTACTATTCTATTTGGTAAGAACCACCAATTTGGTGACCAAAGATTAGAAGTAAGGAAGATTGTCAGTGACAGTGTTGTTGATATTGATTATTATTAGTTAATTAGCAAGTATTATCACTGAAAAGTGCCTAGGCCTAGGCCTATTTTGTTTTTAAGAAAAAAAATACTATATAGTATTATGCTGAATAATAATGAGGAACTCTCAGCTTCATTTGTGATGATCTATCACATTTAACTAACACATGATAACTTTTAAAAAGGGCAAATAGAAAAATTTATTTTAGAATAGATTATCACTCCCGCTCGGGAAATATTGATGCGGGAGTAAAAGCAAAACATTTTTTTTTTTGCCACATCAATTATTTCAACAGCATAAAATAACAATGCAATTTTGTGACTTCAAATACATTTTCTTTAAAAAACTATAATATTAAACCAGTTTTTATACAAAGTCCATATTTAAAGGCCCGGTACAGGCCAAAATATAAACAGTCCCTCCCTCATCGATAAAAACAAAAGCGAAATAATTTATTGTAGCGATTAAAAAAAAACGAAAAAAAATATAATTTTGATTGTTGTTTAAGGTGATTGTGATATTTTTGTGATAGTGGTTAATTGCCCTCAATCGCTCAAGTAGCAATGCATAATTGAATTTTGAATCTTGAACCTCTTGAATATTAGGCCTATAACCTACCAACAACAAATTGCAGTTTCTAATTTAACGGTTATTGCTGATGTTTGTTTTTTTTTTCCCCAGAGATTATGGTGCGCCTGTTGATTAAGAAAGCTGATGAAACCCAATTCCTGTTTGAGACAACAGTGACTGTTGTAGTACAAGACCTTCTCAATGAATTGACAGAAATTTATAATGCTAGACTTAAAGTTGATAGGATATGCACAGGTAAATATCTCAAGAGCATCAAGTTTATTCCACAGGTGTCATAATATTTAAATCAAGACTATCCAGGTTACCTATAATTGAATCCAAGGACACCAGTGTTAAACACTCAGTACTTATCCTTGATAATGTGTTAATCCAATTAATATAGTGAGATAACGTAACATTAGTTTATCGAGGGCGGGTTGAGCTAATGATAACCAATATGGCTACGTCATCCCCTAATGTAACATATCTGTCAAAATGTAGTCCATCCATGCCTTTTACACGAATCAATGATCATATTCATCTATTTTCAAGGAATGTGTTACGCACAAATGACAATAATGTAGATGACTTATTTGTATTCGTTACTGTTTTCGTAAGGGTATGCAACTCGCTATTATATAATACTTAAGTAGTTTCCTCCATCAAAACACATCTTTACCAAGAGTTTAATATTGGTTTTCTTACTATATTGTTAGAACTTGGTGAACTTGCAAAACATGGCATATCGTTACCCCCAAATATGCAAGGCCTGGCTGATGAACAGATTGCTGATTTGAAACTGAAAGATGAATGGGCAGATAAATGTATTCCAAGTGGTGGCGCTATTGTAAATCTAGACCCAATCGGAAGACGGAATGGTCAAGGTACAGTACACTTTGCTATCTCATTTTATTTGTTATATTTAAATATACATGGGGTTGAGTTGACTTGGGGTCGAGTTGACTGGAGCCGAGTTGACTTGGGGCAGTGTTGACCTGCTTTCTCCTGACTACTTGAGACCGATTTGACTACATGGGGCTGAGTTGATAGAGTATATGGGGTCGAGTTGGCTTGGGGCTGAGTTGACTTGAGGCTGATTTAACTTGGGGCCGAGTTGAATTCAGTGTTGAGGAAGTCAAATATTTTATATTTTCATTGCCCACCATGGATAGATAATTAAATGTTTGCATGGTTTTTTTTCCAGATTTTATCAGAAGAGAAATAATAAAACTATTAACCTTTAATAATAAAGCCAGGTTTTCTACTGTGATTGTAATAGGTCTTTATACCAAAGTCTCAAAAACGCTTGTGCTGTGGACTAGCTCGTACAGTAACTATTGCCCTATGGGTCACTTTGTGTCTGAGCTACCCGGTAAACTGTTACAAGCTACTCTAGTCTGTCTACAACAGGGGCTGTGTGGACCAGTGCCCCAAAGTAACACCTGCTTATCTTGAAGGATGTACTGTACTGGGTTCTGCAATGTGCACAAGAGTCAGTTTGTGTACACATGGGGGTGGGCATATAAAAATCGGTTGGAGGGCCAAAGTGAATTTTTGATTTTACACTGAGGGGACACACCCAAATTTTGATGTTTACAGTGCACTTCCAAAAGCCACCAAGCATTGCTTTTATACCACTTTATTCAAAGTTTTAATATTACTTTTTACAGATGATCGGTGTCGGGCCATGAAAAAACAAGGTGTTTTCTAGCAAATGTTGCTTGGTGCGCACATATATTGTTTTTAATTCATTTTCGCGTGCCGCACAAAAGTCACTGTCGGGCCGCACTTTGCCCACATGTGGTGTACATTGGGTCTATGGGTAGTCCTTATCTGAGAAAACGAGTGTGGCATTCGAACCATTGCCGATATGGCTGTACATATAGCAGCCCCCTGCCTTAAACCCTCGACCATTCAAACTCACCACTGTCACACACTTTAAAGAAAAAAACTAAATCTCAATAATTGATTGTTCTAATGTCTTGAGTTATACAGTATCTCTTTTATTTTTAATTATTTAGTTATTTAATTTAGTTTTTTTTGTAGAGTATGTAAGCTAACAGATAAATACAATTTTGATTCATATTCGTTTTTTAGCACCAAACGAGAAGATGGCTGATGTCATTTCCAGAACTGTCAGTGAAGCCAAGAAGATAATATCAAATGTAAGTTTTTTTTTTTATAAATTATTGATAATTATAAATTTTGGATTGTAATTAATTTTTCTATCATTTTTGTATTAATTTTTTTTTTAAATACTATTAGTATATTCAGGGCGTAGGCTGATATTGGCCAGAAGGGTTGCAAAAATTCAGAATTCGGATCTTATAATCCCTATTCCAATGAAAACTTAATGGTCATTTTTGAGTACTTTAACCCATGTAGTGCAACTAATTTGCCACTATGAGTGAACCCCTCCACCCTTAGCCTACGCCCATATTATTATGGATATTGTTACTGTATAATTATTAACATGGCTAAATATAATTTTTTAAATAAGTAATGATGATATTATTATTATTATTATTAGTGTTATAAAGGAGAAGTTTACCAATTGTCCACCCCCTGGATATTGTTGCTAAAGTCATGCTTGTAATACACTCCCATATTCCTGGGCCTGTTTCTGATCGGTCAGTTGTTAAGTTTGATTGACACTTCGGAAAGGTCCATTACTAAAATGGGGTGTTTGAGTATAGTTCCAGTGTTTAGTATTAGAACTGTGTTAAATCTTACAGAAGCAAGCTTCAGCCAATGTTTGCATGACAAAGCAGATGGTACAAGATGCCTTGGATCAGCTGCGTGGTGCCGTCATGATTGTCTATCCTATGGGACTACCTCCTCATGACCCTATCCAGATGGAAATTGAAAACCAGGAAGATCTGCAAGGCCAACAGGTAAAGTTTCCTTACAAGGCTATGTTTTTTATTTAGATTGAGTTCTTTAAGATGATCAGTGTATAGTTGTTTTCGTTATTATGTGCAATAATTTTATGTTCCTAATTTTACTAATTTTCAATTTATAAAAGTCTATGTTTTTAATTAAGATTGATTTCCTTAAGATGATCAGTGTATGGTTGTTTTCGTTATTATGTGCAATAATTTTGTGTTCCTAATTCTATTACTTTTTCAATTTATAAAAGTCTGTGTTTTTAAATAAGATTTGAGTTCCTTTGATCAATGTGAGGTTGTTTTTGTTATATGTGCAATTGATCGAGTTCCTACTCCACATATCAAGCACCCTGAGCATCTTACATTAGATGGATATGTGCGCTATATAAAACTACACTGTTATTATTATTGTTATAATTTTATGTTTCTAATTTTATAAAATAATATTTCAATTTTATAAGTCTTTGTTTTTTGTTAAGATTGAGTCCCTTAAAATAATTAGTGTGTGGTTGTTTTTGTTATTATGTGCAATAATGTTATGTTCCGAACTTTAATAATATTTTAATCAATTAATTTAAGAATAATTAATTCAAATATTTTTATAGTGCATCACAATTTGTTGTAATCAATGAAATAGTTGGTGTGTAATTTTTGAAGTGATATTACTGTTTATGTTTTTCTTGTTAATGTTTGTCTACATGTTTTTTTTTTGTTTCCATTTTTAAAATTGTATTTTTGTGTTTGTGTGTGCAATATTTTCTTTTTCATTTTAGATAATTTCATTATTATTAATATTTTATTTTTATATTCCTATTCTACTAATTTTAATGTTTTGTCCATTTTTATTGTAATTTTTAAATTTTGTATAACAATGTATAATGTTTCAAGGATGTACTGTTTATATATTTTATATATTTTTGTAAATGCAATTATTTCAGCACTGGCTGCCTTTTGTAATTTTTTTTTGCTTTGATTATACCAAATAAATAAAAAAAATAATATATTTTGTTGATATCAGATTTATTTATATCATAAATAAATCTGACCAAACATTTTTTTAACTACTATTCTGGTGTCTATAGTTTTTTGTAAATTGATTTTTGCACTGTTAACATCAATGCATATATTCATCTACTGTGTTTTAGGCATCCTTACAAGTTCTTGAAACACCAAATACTTCACTCTGGTTCTCTGGAAAAGAAATGAAAGGAGATAAGAAACTGCAAGACTATGTTGGAAAGAATGAAAAAACAAAGATTATTGCAAAGTTACAGAAGGTAAACCCAGTTTCAAATTGATTGGAATTCACAAAAGTATCATAATGACTAAAACTTTATTTACGTTGAAGCAATGAACTGTTCAAGTGAACCCCACCCTCTTGGGTATTGATGCTAAAGGTCCCAAAAATGACTGTGTAAACACATATTCATGGCCAAGTTCGGATTAGTAAGTTGTTCAGTTTGAGTGACTTGCCAAAAATGTTTTTATTCAGAAGTTTTTACTGTATTATTATTATTTTTATGGTGTATTTATTTGAACAAAAACATTAACAGTGCATTATGAGATTAAACTATGAAGACAGAATGTCAAGGCAGAAACCCAGAAAGCAAAGTTTATTGTTAAAATGATACTTCCGGTTGAGACTACCATCTGCGGTAGAAGCCTGCTCCGAAGCCTTCATTTTGAAGTTGGCGCTAAATCCTGAAGAAGAAGAAGAAATTAATAGTAATGGTAGACTTACATACAGGGCAGTTTTGCGGGAGAGGGCCAAGCCAGCCCAAGCTGCCCTTTCCCTTTCGGAAATAAAAAAATATAAAGAAAGAAAAAGAAATTATTGAATGCCAAAAGGCCTCAGAGGTTATTTCTGGGCATCTAGAAAACAAAAATTTCCCCCTAGGGTTCTTTTACTGCTACTTCTACAGTAATACTGGAACAGGGCTCGACTGGGTGTACTGGGGTATTGTTGTTCTTTTACCACCCTCCCCCCCCCCTCTCTTTGGATATCTCTGGGACCGCCCCTGCATAGTACATAATGCTAAACTTGTGAAATGTGAAATCTTGTCAATGTTATTTTTACAGAAGGGCCAAGGGCCTCCAGGGAGGGAGCGGATATTTTCAGAAGAGGAACAAAAGGCAATGATGGCCCATGCATACAAAAAGCAAGAAGAATTCAAGGTACAGTTAAATAATAATATATTATAAATATAATGAAATTAATTAGTATTATTCAAAATTGTGGTGATAATGGTGATGATGAGATGGCGCTGTGGAAGAGTGGCAGACAGTGGTGCAGATGACAATGATGATGAAGAAGATAATAGAGAGTGTAAAGATGGTGAAGATTATAAAGATTATGATGATTATATTGTTGATGATAATGAAGATAATTGGTGATGATGGTGATGATGAGGATAAGGACAGTGACAGCGACAGTGACAGCAGCAGTAATGATGTTGGGATGATGATGAAGATGATGGCGACTATAATAGCGATTGGGGAGGTGATGGCAATGGTGATGGGGGGGGGGCGTGATTGTCATGGTAATGGTTGTGGTTGTTGGTTGATGAAGATGGCAATGATGATTATAAGGATAATGAATATTATGATAGAATGCTCTAATAGCCTACATCAGTGAATTAGGAAAACCGGTCTTAAAGATATATATATACTGTATATATATATATATATATATATATATATATAAAACACTGTCAGTGTAATAATAATATAACGTTTATAATATGCATATAATATAAAAATGGTAATAAATTTACTTTCAGCTCTGTTGCAACTATCAAGCTTTCTTTGACAAAAACTGTTGTGTGCCCTTATATAGTCATGATATGCCCATTTATGGTCATGATGACATCAGAATTTGATAGTGTGGACAGGGTGTTACTTGGCAGAGGAAATATATTCTGCTTCTATTTGGCAATTGAAAGCTATTAACTTTCTGAAGCCCTCTCCAGATTTAATTTAACAAAACATGTTGTATGCCCATATATAGTCATAATGTTGCCTAATAGTCACGATGTGATGTCATCATGATGATGGGCTTTAGTTGACAGTGGAAATATATTCAATATATAATAAAGATAATAACTTTCCTAAATGTACAAAGATATTAAGATATTCAGATATTGAATTTTATTGATCTAGTAGTTTATTAGGATCAACCAGGGAGTTGTTATCATCATTCTAACAACTCCCTGGTTCAGCATACAGTTTGCTGTATCGTTTTAAGGAGCTTGGAAATTTGTCAGCTTTGTGTATTTATGTGCTCGTTATTTCTTTTTTTCATCCAGAAACTAGAACAAGATAACGATGATGCCTATTTGAACTCCCAGTGGGCAGATTCAAGTTCTTTAAAGAAGCAGTTCCACGGTTTAAAGAACATCAAATGGTGACAAAGTTTCAGCAATCGACGGTGCAACGACACATAGACACACGATCATAGACTCAGAGGAATGACGGACCCATAAACAGATGGCAGACCCACAGACAAATGACAGAACCAGAAACTAATTTTATTTTATTTTATTTGGAATCTCTAATAACACATTCACATAAATATACATGTATAAATTATTACATTAATTTATTTATTTATTCACTATATTTGAATAAGTAACCCTTGCAGATTAAATCAAAATACAGGGGCCCGCTTAAAAATTCATAGTATAATACAAATTTTAAAATATGTTACTTCTTTAATGCACTTTTAACTTAAAATACAGCAGTAAATCTTGCCTTGAATAAAATAAACTGAAAAAAAGTCAATGTCAAATGAGTAAGGTCACAACATTTAGTTTTTGACTAATGATTTTATTTATTGAATTTTACCAATACTGACATATATATATATATATATATACGGTAAAGTTGGAATATTAAGAAAGTGTATGTCAAAAAAATACTCTAAAATACATAAAGACTTAAGATTGTTGATGGTAAATATAATTTTTTTTGGAGTGTTCACCGAATTATGAAATAATTCTGGTTTTTTTGAGATGCATATCATGAATTTTGAGTGTTTCTAGCTTTGTGGAAGCGATTTGGCGCAGTGGGATCGGTTTGGTTTCTCCAACCTCGAGGTCGGGGTTTCAATCTCTCACTGTGCATTTTACTTGTGTCCTTAAGCAAGGCACCGTCTTTATCTGCATTGCTTCCCTCCACACAGGAGTATAAATGGGTACCTGGTCAGGTTGCCGGGTACCTGGTCAGGTTGCCGGCTCCTGCGTTGATTACCAGCAGCACATAAAAGCCTGTGGAACCAATAACCAGGGAAAAGAACTTCGCTATATAACCTCATGGAAGAGGCCCATTATAGTGCCTATTCCACTACCATTAACAGTAATATAATTATTATGTGTGAAAATGTATTATTCTAGTTTCTCCAGCATAAGTCCACTTCCCTTGAACATAAAATTGGGCAAGTTTTCGGAAGTGGGTTAATCCCCATTTTTTTTTTTTCAAATGCTATTTTCTCAGCACTATATGTCTAATTTAAAGACAGTATTTAATTTTTTTTTTTCTAAGAATATCTGTAAAAGCCATAGCCTGCGTTTTTAAAGAGGTGGGATTTTAGCCGACGTGGGCTTATACCGAGGAAATACGGTAATTGGCTGAAATAGATAATTGAAATATGTATTTAAAAAGTTCCATTTTGTGTTAATATAAATCGACACTATAGTATTTTTAAATTGCGGTTGAGAGCTTTGTATTCCAGCTTTGGAAGAACACTTTTTCTCCATTGTTGGAAAATTAGTTCCAAAGGAGTTATTATTGCAAAATATTAAAAGTAGTACTGGAATTTGATGGGAAAATTTTTTTGATTGTCGAAAGATGATGATATGATTGTTTTATATAATTTGTAAATTTTGTATGGTTTTGACAAAATCCGTAATATGCAGATATTTTAGACATCAGAATTCACGGTCTAAAAGTACAGTACCGTACTCGCGCGAATAAGCGCCCGGGCGCTTAAAATATTTTGTTGCACTTTCTCAGGGGCGCTTATTTAAACGGGGCGCTTATTTAAATGGAGCGCTTATGAAAACAGAGTGGAAATTGAGGGGTTCTTATAGGAAATTATTAAATTCAAGAGGCACCTTTTGAATGAAAAAAGATTATATATAAGGACATTACGAATGGTGGTTAGAAAAGATAATCGTCCAGACATGGCACATGACAAAAATGAGTGAAAATTTACATAACAGCAAAATAGCAGATGCAATTAGTGGTGGTGGGTAGTGGTTAGCTTGTTGGCCATCGGCCGATTGAGATGAGCAGGATCGTTGTATTGTTTTCTTGAAAACTCAGATGAGAATGTGCTAAAGGTCGGAAAAAGAAGAGGAGTAGGGCTAGGCATAGACAAATAGTGTAAAAAGAGTAAAGTTGGAAATATACTGTCTGTCCGGGGATCGGAGCTCTCATCTGTCCAAGAGAAATATCCTCATTTTGATATCGACCGAGAAGAATGTTATCCAATCTACAGCTCAAATCATCCCAACAACCACAGTCCCAGGATTGATTGGATTATTGACTTGCTAAAAAGAAAATCTTATGAGGGAGCGCTTATTCAAATTAGAAACGGCGCTTATTCAAACGGGGCGCTTATTCGCATGAGTACGGTATACAGAGTAGTGTTTTGTATTTCTGTAATAAAGTTAGCAGGTGAGATGCAGAGTGTTTCTGTAATAGTCTGTTGCACTTTCTTCAAATAAATAAATGAAAGATAAGTATTCTATTCTATGTGTTGTGTGTCTATTCATAGTTAATACAGTATTTGAATCATTCATGTTAATACTGTACCAATGAGAAATTGATTGATTGAATGATCATGGATCAATTGGATCATTTCACTCTATGTTCAACCATTAAAGTTTTTTATTGAACAGCATAGCATGGCCTTTTATCTGAGATTGGTTAAAAATTTTTCAGGGGTGGCGCCTACGGGGTGGATGAATTAGTTTTTAAATGAATGGTTTGATTTTTGATTAGATGATTTGGTTTTTGTATGGGCTTCTTTTCGATTCTACTTTGCTGGGGGACTTCAATTAGAGAGTGGCTTCTTCTCGAGATATTTTATGGGGGTTCTATTCGAGGTTTTACGGTGTTTCTTGTCAATTGCATTAGTTGTTCTCCATCTCTTCATTCACTTTTCTCAAATTTCTGTTTCGTCGTCATTGGCTATAAACATTGTATCAATCCCCCAAACATTTTATATAGTGGGATGATAAAGCTTTTTTAAAGTGATCTACTAGTACACCGGGCTTTTCGTTGCCCAGTCCGACTCCTACTAGCATACAACTTGTGCGTGATTATTATGATTACGGTGGGCCTATTATTATTGTAGGCCACCTAATATTTATCAGGGTCTTATGAGTTTAACTTACAAATAGTACATTATTTATACACAATTCAATACACCCACAAACACACGCACACAACAAGCGTTAAAATGGATCAAGATTGTAATACTAATCGACACAGCTTATAGTAGAGAATTTTGAGTCTTAACATGGTTAATCATATAGGTATTCATTTTATATTTTATTTTATTTATTATTCCTCCATGGGTTTAAGTTTATTTATTTATTATACCTCCATGGGTTAACAAGTTTATTACGGCGACTCAACAATTACGGTACTTAGTTATCAATCATTTGCACGGCACTATTCAACTTATGTTGGTTTGTTCAGGAATCCTTGATTGTTTGTTTTGTTTTTTTAAATTTTTTTTTTGTTTTTTGTTTTTTTTTTCCAAATAGAATTAAGTCTGCATTGCTAGATTTGGATTGTCATGCAAATGGCTCACTTTAGGTCACCTCTCCGATCCCTTACAAGGCCAGGCTCCATCCCTCTTTTTTTGAGATTTACTACTATTGATGATACATGATTCCATTGTGTTTGCTTCGATGGTTTCATAGGTTTCATGTATGTATGTATGTAACGTATGTTTTATGTATATTTTTTAAATGTTAACGCATCCTGTAATCGGCTATCATGGATGTATTCATATAGTTGTGATGTAAGCTAAAAATAAAATACAATACAATAAAAATAGTAATAAATCATTTTATTCATTCTTAATATCAAATGTAAAATATAGGATCTACGCAAAATATCAAGGTCAGTATTTGCAAGCTATAATGAAGGATAAAAATATACAAAATAAACAAGTTTTATTTTTCTTTATTGCCGTTTGTTTTATAGGATTACTTTAGAGGCTAATACATAATAAAAATACAAAACGACGAAGTTCCATTATCATTTATTATTGCCATTAGTTTTTATAGGCCTAACAATGTTACTTGGAGATTTACTCCTATAAATGGTATAGGATTCCAGTGTGTTTGCTTCGATGGTTTCGTAGGTTTCATGTTTGTACCATAAAACCTCGAATTAAAGCCCTGGGCTTTTTGTTTTTGTAACCTTTGGATGGGCTTCTTTTCGAGATTGGCCACTTTTCGAGATGGGGCTCTTCTCAAAATACAAATTCAAAAACCGACTTACTTGCAACTTGCAACGAAAACATAGGAACGACCATTATAATAATAATAATAATAATAATAATAATAATAATAATAATAATAATAATAATAATAATAATAATAATAATAATAATAATAATAATAATAATAATAATAATCATAATCATAATCATAATCATAATCATAATCATAATCATAATCATAATCATAATCATAATCATAATCATAATCATCATAATCATAATCATAATAATAATAATCATAATCATAATCATAATAATAATAATAATAATAATAATCATAATAATAATAATCATACGGTAAGAACTTATATAGCGCCATTTAAAAAACCGAAGTAATTATTCAGCCAAACATATCACAGTACATTTACAAACAATGAAAATTGGACAAGCAAAACGTATGTCATCAAAACTGTTGCGTTCTATACAGTAATACACTAATTTGTTAATTAATTTATCTATTGGTTGCCCAAGCGTGACCAATGGGACCACGCGCGCGCATGAGTGATATGGATGAATGGCCTTGGGGTTGTCTGTGAAAAGACTCTCGATGAATAGTCAACAAAAGACCTTGGAATTGAAATCTTGATTTTCTTGAAGACGGGAGAAACAGATTGTCTTCAAAACACGAAGGACCGACTCCAAAAATACTATGTGTCTAAGCCCTAAATCTATCAATGTTTAGGCCCCGTGTTTGACAACAAGGTAAGTAATAAATCCGCGTATTATCTAATTGTGTTTGTTAAAAAGTGCATCCATGAGGCCCACTGCACATTGATCGATTGACAGTGCTGCTAGGCCAGTGGTCAATCATATCATTGTATTCAGAGATACGACGGAGATATCTGTTTTTGGCAGCCTTGTCGGATTGAACTGGGCTAGGCCTAGGTTTCACTCAGACCAGGCAGGGACCAAGTAAGGCCAAACCCCATCCATATACGTGATCTTTACGACGATGCTTATTTAAAAAAATCCTATCAGCCAGGCTGTCTGATTTGTCAAAAATTGCGAGGAGTCATTCAAAGAACATCTTCCGTACCGTACAAAGCTAGGCCAGGCCTACTGTTAGGACAGACGCCCCCCCCCCCCAAACCTAAGATGACATGGGAGGTGCTGTATGCTTCTGATGCCAAGCCTGCATTGTATAGAAATTTATTGGCCCAGCTGTAGCAGCATAAGTTCAAAGAACAAAAACATAATTTTAAAGAAGTAGGCACTGCTGAATGAACAAATTAAAAGATACAGTATATATTACTATACTATTAACAAAAACAGATTGATGATGATTAAATTAATATTATCATCCATTACATTATCATCATCATCTTGTGACTGTTAAATTGTGTTTATATGTCAGTATTTAATAATATAACATTTGAAGACTTTGTGTGTAAACACATGTTTATTATTTAAGGCTGTTACTGCGTTTCAGTTTCATTTGTTGATGGGGTCTAAAGATCCGGAAGTGGATTTTGACCAATCGCAAAACAAAGCGCATCTGTTAAGCGATATTATATGGTGTGCTGTATATCACTCAACAGTCTCCATGTGCCAATCGCAAACCTTGCAATGTATGGACTTCTTCCAGAAGCTACAGTGTTTTTATTATCAAATTCAATTTCAAATTTTAGTAGTTGTTCACTTAAACATGATAAGCATGAAAATTTATGACAATAATAATGACCTGGTTTTATATAAAGGTTTTACAACTGATTTTTCCTTAGACATATAATGGGTGTTTGAAGAATAAAATCTTGGGAACAGTCAATGAGATATAGATTTTAATATTTAAATTGAGGGAAAAAGGTGAAAAACGCTGGTTGCACCTTCCCCCCTGTTATATCTCATTGACCATTTCTAAGTTTTTCCTCAATGTTATCAATCATTTTTCTATCTGCATGTTTTTTTTCCTTATCCCAGTGATTATCAAAATTTGGTACCTCAAATAATTATTTAAAAATAAATTCAATCTATTATGTATTGAATTTCAATCAACTCTTTTTTTCAATTTTTGCGGTGTCTTTTTATTTTTTAAAAGAAATATTCTGTTTTTTTTTTTGTGTGGGTATTATGTTATTTTATAACAAAACATTTTGAGGCAAGATTTGTTAAGTTTATTATTGCAGTAAAATTAGTATATTCAAATATAATTATAAATTAATGGAAGTAAAAATGGAAAACTAAGAAAAGCATACAGTGTATTTTCATGAAAAGTCTAATATCTGAACAAAATTCTTGTTTTTCACATTTTTTGTTTGTTTTAACTTTGCTTCTACTGGTCCAATATTTGTATTGTTCTGTCATTTTAACTTTATACAATACTGTAACACTACTCAGCACCCTACCTCCCTCCCCACTTTTGAATATCCAACCAGTGTTTAGGGTAAGACTATGAGTGATGGTTATTTTTACACCTCCCTGGTTGGACCTGAAGCCACCAACCAAATCAATATTTCACAACCTTACAGTAGTGCCTGACCATCACTTGACCCATCAAAATTGTCTTGCAGGTGCCAAGAGCATACTAATCTGTAGGCCTATTTTCCTTCGTATGTTGGAATTTTTTGTAAAAGGAAAATGAAATTTATTTGTCATATCATAATCTTTGCTCGGACATTCACTCGCTATACTTCCTCGGCGTGGTTTAACACAGGTTATGGCTTTTAAAGTTAATGGAGGCTGGTGTATTATGGGATTTTGTTCATAAAGATTAGTCAATCAAAAAAAAAAGACATGGATAATACTTATATTATATAATGATCCAAATATAATATATTATGACCCAAAGTATGCTTTTTGCAAGTATACAAAGTATGATTATTCAGGAAAATCGCATAAAATAAACCTTCAATTATGTTGCTACAATCATGCACATGTTACTACAAGCATCCACTGCTTGGAAATGTGTCAGTACAGTATACAGCAGATTGCAGATCTATATGTTTTGTATTAATTGAAGTTTACTAAATGGTGATATTTAATATACACACTCATTTATTGATACTGTAAATAAATATTATCTTATCAAACAAACCAATGTACCCACCTCCTTGTACTAATATAGAGTGGTAATAAGGTGGACCCGCTGGGATTGCAAATTGAGAAATCGTAATTAGCCTCAGTGTCAATAAAAACAAATTGATGTTTTGTATAAATCTTTAGTCTGTTTTCATGGTCAATAAATGTGCCATAAAAAATCAAGTATAAGATGTACCCTAGAAGATTGTATATTCCATCTTATATGATTTTAGTAGATTTCACAGTAACTTGGTTGAAATAGAATACAATGTACAACATATTACTTCACCATATACTGTAACTACAGTACAAATTGGTTCTGGTAATCAATCTGAATTTTTTTGATGACGATCTTAATAATTTAAAATTGCAAATGCCACAAAAAAGAGGAAATCATCTGTAGCTACATCATGTGGAAGCAGTTTGGCACAGCGCGAATGGTTTGGTTCCCAACTTTTGAGTCGAGGTTTCAATCCTTCGCTGCATGCAGATCGCCTGTACTGAATCCTTGAGCAAGGCACTTTATCTGCGTTGTTTCTGTCCACCCAGGATTACAAATGAGTACCTGGTGGGGTTTCCTGTATCGTGCTGATATAGCAGCAACATTTTGCTAGTGAACCAGGGAAAACATAGCACTTTCTAACTTAGAGGAATAGGCACTTTATAAATACCAAGTAACAATAACGAAAAAAAAAAAAAAAAAAAATTTACCATCTGTACTACTGTTGTTTACAACACATTGGACCTTTCCACTATGTCCCACTCCTTGGATATATTGCTGCAGTGGTGGTGCCAGCGGGAGGAAGGGGCTTACCCCCCCCCATCGGTTTGGTCAACCCCTTATATCGGCCTAAGGTTGTCGGTCAGTCGGACCAAAAGAAAACAAAATAGGCCTAGTTTTACCATCCCAGCCACTTCCGGCCATCTACTGTAGAAGTCCCAAATTAAAAAAAGAATAATCTTGTTTTGGGAAGGAGGACACCCCCTCCCATACCCACCCGCGCGGCTCGGGGCTTCGCTGTGCGCTATAATTACACCCATAAATACTTAGCCCCCCCCCCCAGTCAGCACGTTTGTTTGTAGGACACTGTGTATTGCAGGGGCTGTTCGGATTGGTTGATTGTTAGTTTGATTGACACTCCGAAAAGTTCCATTCAGACAGTTTGTTAGAATACGAAAGTCACGATACCACTAGTATTTCATTAAATAGCAATGGCTGTATTCAACTGGTCGTTCTTCGCTAAACCACGCCCACTGCGCAGTGATTAAATCCCACTTAACGAAGACGACCAGTCGAATAGAAAACTGGTAAATACTCGACAAAACAAAATGTCTGCATAGTTACCGCGATACATGCTGCATAATCAAGGCTGCTTCGGATTGTTTCATTAAAAAAAAAATTTCATCTAGTTTTTTTATTCTGTCTCTACAATTATTTTTTAACTTCAATGTGGGTAAATATTATAATTTTTATTTTCTGAAATTTAATCTAAATTATATTAACGCAGATGTTGTAGCTAAACTGACCAATCGATCATTTTTTTTTTTTGTTCATGTGGATAACTTAACGCTGATTAATGCATTGTAGTTACGTTGAATGAAAGTACAACTCAGCAAAAATTGAAATGAACCAGTCTAATGAAATGAACCAGTCAATGAAATGAACCAGTCTAATAAAAGCCCAATAGTCTTCCAAGCAAATATCCCAGTGTTATTGAATTAACATTGGTTTTGAGCAAAAAACTTGAGATAAGCCCCCAAAAAATTGTTTGTTTGCCCTTTAACGCTGAAAATTGTATCTTTTTTTTTCTCCTGCACTGAAACCAAAATTAACATATTAAATCGCAATGCTTGCAATTAAGCCTGTCTCACTAATTTGTTTTTCAAAGGTTATTCATCAGACTGAATAAAAATAACCCATAATCAATATTTTGTAATGAATATTAGGCCTAGAATGGTGAGACCTTACATCAGATACCAAATTTATCCAACTTGCATGCGTAAAATGGAGAAAAATAAAGATCACTTTTCTTTATATTTTGTGAACAAAAAAATCGAAAAAAAAAACAATACCTCTTTTAAAAACGCTGCCTTTATTTTTCAGTGAGCTAGGGGATGGCCGCTGGAGTGCAGACAAACAATTTTTTTTTAGGCCTTAGGAGGCAAGGAGCTTGAGGCCAAGCCTTAGTAGGAGGCTATAGTAGAGTTGTTTGTAGGGCATGGTAGTGAATATAATTCTGATCTATTTTTACCTGTATTTAAAAAGTTCCGCATCTTGATTAATACCAGAAACACCTAAAATAAAAGCCCAGAGAAGAAGCACATTTCAAATTCGCGCCCCACCTCTTTAATTTCCAAAATTATCCTCGAAAACAAGCCCAGGGTCTTCTTTTCAAGATAGCATGGGCTCCTTTTGCGATAGTCACTGTATACACTGTACAGTACATGAATTTGAAAGAAACAAAATAAATTAAATCATGCTTGGTTTATACAATAGTTTTGGTGATTTAACATAAATACACTCTCGTGATATAGAGACTAATGTTGTAGTGGCCCTATTTATGGTTCCCGAAATTTACAGCATTCATTTTTTTAAAAGAGCCCCTCTCTTCAGTTTACTTTGCAAAAGTAGCCTCGAAAAGAAGTTTATTTCAAAAAGAAGACCATCTGAAAAAGAAGCCCATCCAAGTTCACAAGAAAAGAAGCCCGTCAGAGTTTACAAAGTTCATTAATGAGTCTTCCGATATGAACTGCAATTTGTTTTTTGTTGAATAGCGAGAGAAAAAAAATCTTGGCCTTTCTGTATATATGGAACTGTAAGATTTACCATCGTCATAGGATTTGAAGATGGAACGTCATGCTTTATAAATGGCTTGATAGAATTTAGAATTTGGCAGAATAGAGGATCATTATTAAAGTATTACCATTAATAATTATCATCAACATCGCCATCATCGTCTTTAAAATTTAGAATTGTATTTTAGTATTAAGTAAAAACATTCTTTAATTGTGTATACTTGAACCAGACTGAGATTGTAAATAAAAGTAATGATGAAGATGAAGATGATGATGGGGATGTTGATTATAATTATCAATTATTAATAATATTTATAATAATAATAATTATTAGTAATATTTAATGATGATGTTGCACAAAATTGCAGTGAACTGCCTCTATGGTGCATATTAAAACTAGTCACTGGGCAGGCATCCTCTTGTGCTTTAGGGGTGGGAGGGGGATAGGGTATGGTTTCCAATGCAGCAAAAATGTGTCTGTATAGAAGGACCCCACAATGTAATTGTACACTTGGATGGAGAGAAAAAAGTGTTTGAAGTGCCCAATTACCCAAGGAGTAGTTAAAACATTTTGCAAAGCAAAAAAATTCAGGATCTACTGTAAAGCCTCATTTTAAAACATGCAGTAGAAAATTATTTCATTTTCTGGCATTGAATTTCTGAACCATGACCTTAGAATTGTGAGGCAGGCAATTTTAAACCAGCAAGACATCTTGGTGTTTATAATGTTTGGTGTTTGATGTTTTATTATATATTTTTATTTTGTTCATTTTGTAAACCCAAAAGTATTTCAACCTTTGTTGCAGTTAGAGTATTTTATACCAAATAAATAAAAAAAAATAAATATAAAAAAAATAAGTCTATCCATGGTGATGTGGCATGCACTACAATCATAATTTTGTAACCATCTCTGTCATAAAATTTATTTTATGATCATTTGGTTTCTTGAGTCTCCTATCCAATTATTGTCAGTATCAGTTATTGTGTCAATGAGATGTTCTTGTACGTCTATTGCAGTGATAATACAAATATTAAGATGTTTAAAGCCTTAGAAAATATGAAGATGACGAATTAGTCATTTTCATGAGACGAGAACACAGTTAGCGGTAGAGAAGCCAATCAGTAGGTTGGATTGGTTGAATACAGAATAGCATTGTTGATTATCAACAAAGAGCCCTTCATCATTATGTTAGATCGTACACACACATTACAGTTTATTGTGTATAGAATTATGAGTACAGACCTTATTATTATTGTGCTTTAGTTGCTATGGTTACCCTTGAGTTGTTGAGTAATAATTTGCCGTCATACAAAAGTCAATGTTTTGATTTCAGAAATTATGTGAAAAAATATGAATATAAACTTACAAATTGGTGCTTATATTACTGGCATACATTGAATATATTTTTCCCTTCTGTACTATTCGGCAGTATTCAGTCTGTAGATATTTTCATTTTTATTCTTATCGCATACAATTTATATATAATGTAATTTTTAAAATTATAAATTATTTTATAAATTGTAAGACAATCTTTTTAATACGTGCAGAATTTATAAGGTACAGGAGAACTTTGTAAAAAGGAAAACATGTAAAATATGACATTTTTGTTTTGCCTGCTTTAAGATGTGGTACACTGATTCTTGACTTAAAGCCTGGTTTCCTGTCGACGTAAGAAGGCAGATTTACTTACGACTACGTCGTTTTATCGTAACAATGTAAAATATGACATTTTTGTTTTGCCTGCTTTAAGATGTGGTACACTGATTCTTGACTTAAGTTGATTATTCCAGGAAGAAGCCAGACTTCAAGCAGACAGGAGTCTGTGGTTTTATATACAGCACAGTAATTAAAAGTTGATTCCAAATACTATCTAAACAAAACACACTGTAAAGCAACACAATGAATAAAAACATAATTTTTTCATTTATTATATTATCAAGGAACAAGTTCATTTAGTACAGTAGTTAGAAATAAAAAAAATATTTTGATTCTAATATGAACATGCTAGAATATCAGTAACCATAACAAACTCTACCTGAGGAAGATAAACATTTTTTTCACCAATCTTGCCAAGAAATAATTTTCTGCACACAGCTGAAGTAACCCCTCCTACCGCCACAAACCAATGCTAACTGGACAGTTCAAATCAAGACAAAACCCATCTTTTTGTTTCCGTCTTTGGTGAAAACTAAATTCTCATTCTTACTTTCTCTCTGACTTTTAAATACTGTACACATGTGACTGCTCTGCCATCGTGGGTTTCGAGTGCTAAAGCAAGTAGTGCCTAGGTATACTCCCCAGGGAGCAGAGAAGGTTTCACTTTGCTATTGTATGTTATCCAGTGACCAGGTGTAATAACGTTCAGCACCTTTGATCATTCAATTTGGAATTGGCGCTATATAATTTCAGTATTATATTATTATCATTATTATTAAATAGATGTACAGTACAGTACTGTAGCTTAATTCAATAGCTCTTTAGATCTTTTTATTGATCCTTTTTATTTGCATTATATTGTTTTTTTTTGAGCTGGCTAAATTATTGTCTACTGTATATCTCTTCTTCTTGAATTTCCAGATAGAATTGGGGCATTTTTTTTTTTTGACGATATTGATTTTCTCATGGTGCAGGTACTTCATTCAGCCTATAGAGAAATAGTTTGACAGGAAACATACATTTGTCTACATGGCCCATAAAAGGTAGGTGTCATGTTGTTTTTGTGTACAAGTTTATGTGTTGTGCTATGAGTGGATGGTCTGTCACGAAACCGTGTTTTACTGAAAATGTGTCAATACGTGAATATTTTACATACTGAAGTGGGATGAGTGAACTCTGGCATGTTTTAATTCTGCGCTGTACTCAAAATTTTGGCATTCGCTACCTAGATCTATATATTCCATCGTGAAACCTCTCAAATTATGCACTGACCAACTTATTTTATTTAAATTTATATTGAATTTTATTTTTTAACGGTGATTAGAGAGGACGAGTGAATGTGGCCAGCTTTAAATTTATATTGAATTTTATTTTTTTACGGTGATTAGAGAGGACGAGTGAACGTGGCCAGCTTTAAATTTATATTGAATTTTATTTTTTTACGGTGATTAGAGAGGACGAGTGAACGTGGCCAGCTTTTTTCTAAAACAACTGTCAAAGCAAATCCACCAAGAATGAAGGGTGTAATAGCTGACATTGATGCTGATAAAGGAGACTTCCCATTGGCCATTCAGCAGATGTGAGGGTGTAATTTGTACATGCCATCTGTTTAACTAATTATTGATAAGCTATGTTATAGCACTACCATGATATCCCTCCACACATCTAGTGCAAACTATATTTGTTATACAGTATTATGTAAACTTGATTTATTGCCATATTTCATTTATGATAATAATGATTATAATTAATTATTAATTATTTAGATTTATAATGTTTGATTTACTATTATCACGCTGAGCGGATTAATTCCTTTTGCGAACTGCGTCAGAGAATGCTAGGGTTTGGTATGCTTGCCCTCTTTCTCTCTCTCTGGACCAGTTAAACTGTCAAGACGTGATATGTTAATTGTCTGATGTTCATTGCTTTAGATAGTGTTATTTTCATCGTTTTACGTCATAAGGGTGAAATTAAATGTATATTTAAAACAGATGTTTTTGTTGTACCAGTAAACATATTTGCAAGAAACACTGAGCTTTTCAAGTGAAAAAAGATGGAAAAAAAGACCGTTTGAACTAAAAATATATGTTGATTGAAGGAAAAAAAAAAAAAAAAAAAAAAAAGGTTTTCCCCAAAAGTGATGAGGGAGCGGGTGATAAACTAATAATTTTTTTTATTTGGCCTAATGCAGATGTAAACTGTCTTGTTCCTGTCTCGTTGTGGCAATAGATGCAGTGTTGTGTTGGGTTTCACCTCCTTTTATGATGGTGAAACATTGATTTGATGTTAGGTTTATAAATAAACACAATCGTGACAATAATTGGATTTCTGTCTCCGGGTGCCTTATATGTGTTTTATGAGTTTGCTCTCCCACTCTCTATTTCGTACTCAATACCTACGGACACGTTCCGAAGGTCACACATACTGATAGCCATACCTGGTCGATGGTATGCTGTAGTGTAAAAAAGTTACCAATTTTGAAAGTTGGCGAGCTGTCGTTCCGAAATTCAGTTGAAAATCACTAAAAAAAAAAGGCTACTGAATATAATATATTGAAACCGCGAACTTTTAAGGGCTGCGAAAAAAAAGAGCTGTAGCTGTATTATCCAGATAGGCTACACAACACTATGAATATTTAAGCAAAAAATAAAAAGAAAGATAAATAAATAAAATAAAAAGAAAGATAAATAATAAATAATAATAATATTCTGTACTAAACTACAGTATCACTTAATCATAACATTTTTTTATGTGAAAATAATCGAAAGAAGTATTTTCTGTGTTGAGAATATTAAATGAAGTGCCCATTGTAAAGTTGAAAATTACTAAAAAATAAAGGCTGTTGAATATAATATATTGAAACTGCGAACTTTTAAGGGCTGCGAAAAAAAAGAGCTGTATCTGTATTATCCAGATAGGCTACACTATGAATATATATAAGCAAAAAATAAAAAGAAAGATAAATAATAATAATAATAATAATAATAATAATAATATTCTGTACTAAACTACAGTATCACTTATAACAATTTTTTTATGTGAAAATAATTGAAAGAAGTATTTTCTGTGTCAAGAAATAAATGAAGTGCCCATTGTAAAGTATTTAAATTGGTATTAAGGTATTTGTTTTTTTAATTTTGAAAATGTCTTCATCAGCACAGATGCATATTATATACAATCATTAATTCATTTCTCTATTTTCTCTGTAAACTCAGTTTATTAATTTAAAGATTTTAGTAAAATGTTTTGTAAATCATTGCTTTGATTTTTTTTGTCTCATTGAACAGAATATTTGTATGTTCTCTTATATGGATTAGCAATTTAATGTTTTGATTTAATTTTATGAGGTTTTCAATTGATAATAAACATAATTTATTTCTTTCAACAGAATGAATTAGTGATTATCAACCATTAAATGTCTGGAGCAAATTGTTGGCATGGCTAGAAGCCTGTTTCCACTTAGGTATCAAAATGAAGTACCAGAGATTATTAAAGTAAATCATTGCCAAAGGTCATCCTAGGAATACATATCAGCCCTGGACAATGAAGTACTTTAAAATATTAATTGGTTATGCACAGTAATATGTATGATATTCAGCATAATGGATTTCGAAGTGATGAACCAATGTATTAAATGCAATTTCCCATCAGCAGCATGACCTATGGCCCCACAGTTAAGAAGTGTGTAAATGTCAGTATGATATAAGATGGTTGTGTTGAGGTAGAATGGAATGGAGAACTCTACAACAAATCTAACAACAAAGGAGTCGGAACTTAACAATTTTCCTTTAGACGTTATTGTACCTGTTTCAGTTACCATGGTTTTAATCATGGTGATCTGTCTCCTTGGCAACAGTATTGTGTGCTTGATCGTTTACCAAAAGCCAGCAATGCGTTCAGCTATCAACCTTCTCCTGGCTAATCTCGCATTTGCAAACATTGTTATTTCCGCCGTTTGTACGCCATTTTTTATCCTGTTCCTTTGTAGTGTAAGGACGCCAGTCATTGCATGTAAAATTCATGCATTTATATATTATGTATTTAGCATGGAGGCTACATTCATTCTCACAGCTATAAGCGTTGATCGATACTTTATTATTGTACACCGTAAAGACAAATTGAACCCGCGATTGACTAAGATTGTGATTGGAATAACGTGGGTGGTAAGCATTGTCTTATGTTTCCCGCCAGTTTTCGACGGTTTTTCCAGTTACACGTTCAGTAACGTACACTGCTTTCCTCGTACATCGAAGGGCATTGCTGATACAATTTACCTCTCAATACTAGCTTTAACACTGTTTGTCGTACCAATAATCATTATGCTTTGCACATATTTAAGAATCTTGGACACCGTACGTCGAAACACATGTCGTGTGCAAAACTTTCCTGAGTCGTTAAGTGTCAGTCAAGCCAGTAAGCTAGGACTGAGGCGTATAGTCTCGCCTAAACCAATGGTTGATATGGCATTCAAGACCAGAGCTTTTACAACAATTCTCTTAATTTTCTTTGTTTACCTTGCTTGTTGGTTGCCATATTGTTTAGCAACGACCATATATTGGTTTGATGAAACTAAAACGTTGACACCAACGAAGGAAATTATTTTTGTTGGGCTGACGTATTTGAACCCCGCGATAAATCCAATCATTTACTGTTTGCGGATTAAAAAATTCCGTGAAGCGTGTCTGGAAATCGCTCCAAAATTGTGCAGTTTGTTTCCTAAAGCTCCTCATCGAACAAAACGACGAGTAAAACCAAGTGCTATTTATGAGTGTACTGACAAAGTTCAGTCTTCAACTGTTCTTTAGTAGAGTCGGCCAAGTGCTTTCGGAAGGAAGACAAGTCGAAAATGTGTAGAAAAATATTGCTTTTATTCTATGAATATTATAAAGAAAATAATGTGAATTTATAATGCTTGAAACCATGTATTATCAAGTGTATAGCATTGTTGACTCATTCATAATTCTTTTTTGGTATATTGTTGTGGTTGTTAATTTTAATTCTATTAATTATTTTTTAAATTTTAGTATTATTAATTCTAGGTTTTTATACGCTAGAGAGGTAATAGCCAGTCAGCCTATTCTCAGCTAAAACAAATGACTAATAACCATTAGCCAGTTTTTGATCCGTGAGTTTGAAATAGAGTGGCCCCCAGGAGGGACTTTCTCAGATAGATTGTCCACCCACCTTTTCCCCCAACAATGGTGGGAAAAAAAAAGAAATATTGTTATGGCTGGAAATTGGAAACTGACTCTCCCAATTTCCTCCATATAAAAAAAAAAAATTTCGAAAAATTTAGGTGCCACTGTGCAAAGTTTGCATCCATTGCAAAGTAAAACAATGTAACTGCACAAAAATATAATCAGTTACGTTGTTTTGCCATTGGACAGCCGTGGGCTCTCCTTGAATTGGCCGCTGAAAACATATCTGTTGCTCAACCGAGCACACAACGTTTTGTTATTCATACTTCATCAGCGATGACAATAAAATTTCACTGTTTTGTTTTTCTCATCCTGTTCTTAATGGAATTAACTACGGCAACCAATTGTTTCGAAAACTAACTGGATATTTTATGATTATTAGAACATCATTTGTAAAACGCATCATGGCATTATTCCATCTTCAACACCATTTTCGTGTCATATTTTTTTCACTTATTTACACATTGCATGCTATGCGTGGCCTTATATCCCATTCAGTTCGACAAAGCAGCTACCAATTTTGTGTTTAGCTCGCGGTGTTTATTACATATGCCTGCCCTCTTGGCGTCTTTACCGTGCATTGTTTACACTAAGTAGATACATTTAAAATAGCTTTTGTATACTGTAGCAACAATCGATGTTGGAATACGAACAAACTTGCAATTTATTGCCTTGAATTTTGATATAAAAAAATTCATAGTGGTCTAAAAATCAGTAGGCTTGCATTATTTTCTGCATTTTGAACATTAAGTGAAGAAATGATTGAAATTTGAATGTTTAAAGGCAAAGTCTTGGGATTTGAATAGAAATGAAAAGGAAATTTCTGAAATTTCCAAAAATAAAAAAAATGAAATGTCAAGGATTTTAGGGAATAGAAATATTGAGAAATTGTGAAAGAAAAAATGAAAGGGAAAGCTCTATAATTAAAAGAAAAAAAAAACTTTTAATAAACAAAGTAGAAAGAAAATTTGAGAAGATAGGAATATGTAAATGAAATGTAATTTTTTAAAAGTGCAATGAAAAAAGTGTTACTGTATATAAAAGTGAAATTAAAAAGATGCTCAGGTGCTGAAATTGTGTTTTAAATTAAAGGCTATATATTTATACACAAGTTAGTAACGAGTGTTAATTAAGTGAACGTATAACATAATGCAATATTAAGTAATGAATTATGTGACCGGCTTGGAAAAAGGCCCGCCATTTGTCGCATTTTATAATTTCGAACAAACACCCAAAACGTTATAAGATTCAGAATTTTGCGTTTTACATTTTATAAAAGAAGATATATTTCTGAAAAATATCAATCACTGAATCTAACAGTAAAGAGTATTAAAATTATTTTTAGATACAAATCTTAATAATAAACTATTGATTAGAAATCTTTGTTGGCTGTTTTCTTTAAAACCTTTCATGATTGATATCCAATGAATTTAATATTCATAACTTTGCTACTGTAATACTCAATTTCCATCAAATAAACACTGTTCTAAAGAACTCATGCAGAATCTAAAAATACCAAGAAGTCATTTTTGGATTTTTACAAAATAACTGGTTTTGCCTGAGCCGGTCACTTATTTGTAATTAGTTATGCAATCGTTCTGTTTTTAAACATAAATGTGATTTATTCAAAAACTAAATAGTTGGATATCCCACCTATGTACTGTATGTTATATTACTGTATTGTGCTAGCAGGGGCAGTTCCAGATTTTCTTTAATGGGGAAGCAAAACATTTTCAGAATAGAGCGAGTAGTACGTAACATTCATATGCATTGAAGTTTTTGAAATTTAGTGGCAAAACAGGGAGGGGGATGCATGCCCCCGTGCCCCAATCCCCTGCTGGATCCGCCACTGGCTAGCAGCAAGTCTTAATTCTTTGGTGCTAAACTGTGAAAATGTAAGTTATATCTTTCTCAAAGAAATGGCAAAAGGGTATACCAATAATGTTAATTAACTCATCAATTAGTCATTTTTAATGTACATTAAATTATGCTTTGTTTTTGTAAAAAAAAAATGCAATTACTGTAAGATGTATTTTTTAAAATTTATTTTTGTTTATTTTTTTAATTATTATTTTTATTGAATATTTATCTCACTGCTTGAAAAAAAATGACAACTCGTACTGTGTGCTAGTAGCTATCTCTTTTGATGATATAGTATATCAAAGGTTTTCAGGCCTACAATAGCAAAGTAATTTACCAGGTATTTTGAAAATTGTAACATAATTTGTGATTTTGAAATCATTTGGTTTTTTTTTTATTAATGGCAGAATTATATATTAAAAATTGTAAATTATTAAATCATTATTATTATAAAAGATGTTTTTGTTCTATTTTTGTTTGCTTTATTTTTATACCTCTGTATTTTCAAAACATTTCCTTTTAATTAAGTAATTACAGTGATTATTATTTTATTAATCACATTAATTATTCAGAATCATAAATTATTAAATTAGAGAGCTTGTGATATGTTATCAGTGAGATGCTGTGTGTGCCTGGCTTTTAATAATAAAAATAATAATAATAATAATAATAATATTATTATTATTATTATTATTGTTATTTTTTTTTTTTTTAATAAATCGCACGTATCCCCTGCAGAAGTGCTTAAGGCACTACAGACAGAAGGAACCAAAAATTACTAAGAACATCAAAACTACAGTACCAGAAGCGAAACACCACACTGTTTACAGGCAATTTGAGGCACAGGTGCTGGCCTATTCGTAACTCACAGGTGCTCAAGTAATGAGGGTATCTACTTCTTACTGTTGTTAAAATTACTATTTTGAAAGGCGAGTGTCATAATATATATATATATATATATATATATATATATATATATATATTTTAGAAATCATTATCGAGACATGGAGTGTTTGCAAAACATATTGAGGTATAAAAGAAGTCCCGCCCAATGAATTGTCAAATTAATTTACTGACCAACTGATGTTAATTTTCAAATGTTGCAGTGCATGGGCAACAGAACAATTTATTTTTTGGCCTTGTGTGCTGTAGTTAATATGAAGTTGACAATTTGGTTGATTGCACGTAAGGTGTCTCTTAAATTAGTAATGGATTGTATAGCGGTTACTGCACTGCAGCGAGGTTGCTGCAAAACGTAGAGCTTCATACACAGAATCCACTAGAGTGTAAAAAAAAAAAAGTAATAAAATGTGCTGACAGTCCACTGAAATTTGCTAAAACTTAGCAGTTTCGGTCAGTCCTCCTCTGAAGGCTTCAAGAGTGGGACTGTATCAAAGGGTGTTGGTAGGGTGTTAAAAATTCTGATAGTGCTTGGGTAAAACATTGATGTATAAATTGTTTCATTTCATTTCGTAAATCTGTTGTTGTATGACCAATCATTCACATGCTGTTGTAAAGCGAAAGTATTCCCTTCAAAATGATACTATACGCTATCAACATAATTCCTACATTCGTCTTTATAGGCAATTTAAATTCGCTGAAAGATTTTTATAGTAAAATAATTTTGGAAAATAAAACTGATTTTCGTTTCTGTGTAACAGCTTCATGGAGTGACATTGCATTTAATAAGCAATTTGATTTTATATTTGAAGTTTTTGCGATTTTATTTAGATTTTGGTTATGAACTGTATGTTATGACAACTATGTACTGTAAGTTATTGTTTATTAATTATAAGTTATATAGTTTTCTCAGACTGTATACAAGGTGAGAACAAAAATTTGAACATTATTGTTTCCATACAAAATGAGCAACTTGGTTGTACTGTATAATATTATTTTGTGCATTTTGATGGATAGGCCTAGTGTAACTTTGGTGACTCTGTACATAGATTATGCAACTGGCAATATAGTCTGTATTGCATCTTTACTCCACCTTTCAGCTAGTTCCCCCTGTACTTACAAGCACATTAATTAATAAGCCTAGTGTTTCTCAACGCAAAATATATTCTAGATGTTTTATTTATTTTATACAGTATTTTTTTCAAGAACAAGAACAAGATGCACTATGCATTGTTTTTTATTTGTAATTTGCTACGTAATTATGGAATCTGTTTTTTTTTTCTGTTTAATAATGATACATTACGTCATCATGTCATATTTGTAAGTGACGTACCATCTCAAGCTTTGTTTCCATAAAATCGCCTCACCCTATCACCCACAGAATTCGACACTGATTAGTCCATCAAATCTCGGTGTGTTCCTGAATTCATCGTGGACAGCCACACACTTATGCAATGTAGAAATTGCAGCACTGTAGGAAGGAACAATGTAGCGATTTTATAGAAAACATAAGTTTAAATGGAGTACCATCTATAATAGAGTGACAGCCGGTTTGTCTAATTCTACGCACATTGGTACACAACTTATCAAACAACAACAGAGATAATTGTTTGTTTTGTCCTGTTTATTTGTTTGCTTAGCTTTGACCTTAATCTTTGGTACGATCTCAGAAAAACCTTGTATTATTTATTAACCAACCAAAGATTAATTTCATCCGATGTATTTTTTGTATCAATGTTATATTTGAAAACAATTTAGTGGTAATAAAATAATATAGGCATTCATATATGTTGTGCTTCTGAATTTATTGTTTAGTCATTCATTGTCATTTTTGTGAATACACGTAATAGCCCTATGTAAAATCTAATGGTTTAAGGAAATGTATACTGTACTGTATCTCCATTTTTTTATTCTCCTTTGTCCGTTATTTGAGAAGAAGCCAATTATTTCGTCTGGAAACTCTGGCATTTTCCAGTCTAGTGCCATTTCCGGCATTTAGAGGTGCCCTCTCTGGTACTGTGGGACTAAGATGGGTGTGGTCTGACATTTTTGAGTAACTTGAACAGTTGGCCAGTGATGCGAATCAAATTATGCCCAGGGCTGATGGAAAATTATGCAGAATTTTGAAATTTCAATAAGCGGCCTCCTCCTCCCCCCCCCCCCATATCTACTTTTAATACTGTTCTGTCCAGTGATGCCGGCTTTAAAAGGGTCAATTTCACATTTTTGCTTAGTGTACCCCGGTCTTAATAGGAGTACCCTATTCAGGTGACATCCCTATTAAAAGGACACTTTTTTTTGGTTCCGAAGTTGTTCCCCTATAATACAGTAGAGGTTCTACTGTAATTTCATCTATAATGTCAACAGAGGGATGTGTTCTAGCTAGATGTTCTTTCCCGCATTCTATGTTATGGCGATGGTGATTAAGTGATGATGACATAGGCGGTGGAATAGGTGAGTGATGAAAGGACTAATGACATCAAAGTAAGCCCATATTAGGGGCGAAGGTCTTTTTTGAAAGGTAGCGGGGGGGGGGAGGTGGGGGAGAAGATTTGTGACCTACATTCATCTGAGCACCACCGTGGTGAGGTGCGAAATTTTGAAGAAATAGTACCTCTAGATGTCTGGAAATGACACTAACAGTTAAATTCCTCAACATCATGTCACCATCATAGCCGAAATAAAGCTTCAACAAATTTAATTTTTTTTTATCTGAAACTTTTAATAAAACTTGTTTCATGGCATAACATCATGTTCGCTCTTATACAGTTCAATTCAACAATTTTCAAGAAAATATTTGACAGAGGATCAGAAAGTTTCTATAGTCGAGGTGCAGGGCAAAGACCTTGGCAAAAAAATTTAAAAAAAAGTAATTTTGAGGGGAATAAGGGCCCTCCACGGGAAAAATTTTATTTCATAGATGCTCGGAGAATATAGTAATTGAAGTAATTGAAAGGAATTATGTACAATGAAAATGAAAATATATATATGTATTTGTATATTATGTATGTGTGTGTGTATGTGGGGTGTGGGGGTGTGCGTGTGTGTATGTGTGTATATATATATATGTATGTAATGTTTGTATGTGTGTGTATATATACATCTAGATGTGTATAAGAGACAGATATGTAGACGAGCAACCATTTATATATATATATATATATATATATATAAGAAGTAAGTGGAAGAGATTAAACAAGACTTTTCAAAAAATTAATTTACAAAAAAAAAAAATTAGTTACAGAAAAAAATATATATATATTCCAGCGAAAGCAATGAATTAAATCAAATGCTTGATAGAATTGATCTAATTAATTTCATCAGTCATTTTAATTGTATATAAGCATGAGTACTATATCAGATTTGTAAGATACTGTGCATGTATATAAATAAGAATTGTGTATATACATTGAAATGACAATAAAAGGTGGGAAACACCCACAAAAGACAATAAAAAGATGCTCGGAGAAAATGCGCTTTCCTGCTTCTGATCAATGTTGAAGGGTAGGCTTAATAAGAGGTTTTCACAAGAGGAAGATGAAATAATTTTAATTAATTTGGGTATCCAATGATGTTTGGTTTCAATTATGAACATTTTTTTTTGCAAGACCAGTTGAGATATTTTTCTTCTTGGACAACATTATGCTACATTTACCAAATTTTTGCCTAGCAAATTATGCTAGAGGTGTCTAAATTATGCCAAACAGCATAATTATGCCAGGTCTAGTCACTATCCCCCACCCGAGTGAAATGTATGGTGCTCCACTGGTCAGGTCAGTGGTTCCCAACCTTTTTTTTTTATTTGCGGACCCCCTCGGGTCCATAAAGACATGTCAGAAGTCTTTATGGACCCCATGTATATGTAGTGATCATTGTCAATATCCTAACAATAGGATTATAAATAGAAAGAAGATTTGCCACGAAAGTACATCATTAAATAGTGGCGGGTCCTGGAATTCGAAATAGAAAGTAAATTTACATATAGGGGTTTTACACTACCTCAGCCCCACAAAATGTTTATGGCACTTCAGATTTTCACCAGTAAAATAATGGAATTAAATATAATGCCAATTAAAACAATTTACATGTACTCATGCCTATGTCAAAGGTATTTCATCACTGACAAGGCGTGGTTATCATCACACTGTTGTAAGAAAAATAATGAAATTATGAAAAATTGATCTAAAAACCTAGCAGACTCAATTTTTTTGCGGATCATGCCATGTCAGTTTACTTAGCTCAGGTGATGAACTTGGAATATATATATAAAAAAAACATTAATTAGGATTAATTAGGTGTTTGAAAACTATAGTTAGGGTATTTTTGAAAGTGATTACAGTACTTTGTATCGTATTGTATCGTTATTAAATATAATTACAATTTTTGAAACTACAGAACATTGAAATATAGAATGTAAAAAGAAAATTGTGTACCTATAGACTACAGTTCGAACTCCAGTTCGAGACCACTTTGGGACCTTACAATGGGAGTGGTATTGGGGTTTGGTCTGCACTCAGAGGGTTTAGCTTTGTGTTAAAGTGTTTAGAATTCTTATTT